GATACTTGCAAAGGGTAGTCACTTCTTAAATTCTTTTATGAACTGGAGTTTAACAATTAGTTTTATATAAAAATGGGCGTGAAATTAAACATCCAATTTAATTCCGCACCTGTAGATTACCAAACTCCCAAAAGAAGAATTTATAAATGACAAGGCAACACCGTTGATAAGTTCACAGCTTAAATTTTTGATTTTTTCTGACCTGATTAAAACATTCCATTCATGCCGTGGTTGTTTTGATGACCAGAAAAAATACGCTCAGGTATATGTTACGTTATATTTACCCTACAAGAAGACCTATTAGGCAGCCCTCACACTTGCGATTAATTGTGAAAAATTAACTTCTTTGTTACCATCGGCTATTAGGAAAACAAATCCGGCATATATATATATATATGCAATATAGCATAAAAGCATAGACCAGCGAATATCAAGCGGGTCGATGACTAACCTGAATAATTAAGACCGCGCACCTTAATTAACGCGCCCTAATTACTCTCGCGACTCCCATTGTTTCTATGCAAATGCCCGGCGGTTTCTACCCACCTGGCCTTGCACAGCAGTGCATCGCTGGCAATTTCCAGAGCTCGGAGTTGCCTCTGACGTGGTTTACCTGGCAAGAACCGTGTCACACGCACCTGTAACCTCGTATAACCTCGATAAGCGTCGAGGTCCCTATAGAGACAGCCAATGACGTGTACAGGTGAGCCGTTCTTCGAAAAACTGTGCCATTCAGGAGAAACCAACAAAATGGCATCTATAATGGCGATAACACGCATGGCTCCCACAGATGTGTTCGTTGCCATGTTAATTATTCATGGTCAATTTATACGTCTTGAGCAGATGAGCAATACGTGTTGGCAGCCCACTTCAGGCATGTTGCGCTTTTGTAGTGTTTGTGAGCCATTCAAGCCATAAATGCCGTCAATTTTTGCGGCAGTTAAAGGTCACAATAGCATATTTGGCCCTTGTATGCATTTGCTCATTTGTGTGTAACAGGTAAGTATGAAGGGAGTATACTTAGGTATACATGACCCATATCATGGCTTAAATCATTCTTAATACCTAGTCAATGTGCATTACTTTCTAAGCTCTACTAGCTAGTTCTACTGAGATAATAGTACTATAACCAGATAATGGGAGTAAACTTTTATATTAATAATTTGGTCCATGACAGTTCAAAATAAATCAATGGTAGTCCATTTAAATAAAGTATTGATCTGAAACATAAGCTTCATTATATCTTCTGTTATAAAACAAACGCAATGCATCTGTTGATAAGATAACTGCTGATTTATCTTTGGTCACCGTAAACTCAAATTTTGGTCTGAAAATATAGACCAGTTTCCTATACCCTTTTGTATACCTCTTTTGTAAAAACTGACCCCAAAAGACAATTATATAGAATTTAATGAATAATAATGATAATAAATTGATTAAGCAATCGTTAAAATGAAACAAAAATGTACAACATAGAATAAATTGAATGTAAATAAAAGAAAGGAAAGGTGAAGTATACACTTAGTCGGAATGGCGGGGGTTGTGGTTGTTTTTTTGGGAAAAATACCCTTTCTGTTGACGAAGCAATTGAAATCAAAATTATCCGTAAATAATCTAACTTTCAGGAAAATTACACTTAAATCATTATCACATGTGGGAAATAGGGCTTAAAAATAGATTGCAGCTAACAAATTACCAAACATTTACATTTGATAAATATTGAAACATTTTCAACTTAGGTTATGATTGATATTCATCTTGGCATTTTATTTTTTCCATATTAAATTTATGATTCATCACTTAAGTCATACGAAAAAAATAAATAAATCCCCATCTGATCTTGAGAAAATCTGCTATTACTGTTGATGAAGCAACTGAAAACAAAATTACCCATACGTTACACTGACAGGGAAACTACTTATATCATTATCAAATGAGGGGAATAGGGCTCAACCAATATATTGCAGCAAATAGATCAGCAAACATTTACATTTGACAGTTTAAATATATATAGTTATATTTTCAACGTAAGTAATGATAGATGCTCAACTTGGCATTTTATTATTTCCTTATTGACTTTGTGATCATCACTGAAGTAATATGAGAAAAAAAACCTTAAAACCTCATTTAATCTCGAGAAAATCTGTTATTACTCAAATTTCTACGCTACTACTTCTTAAAATTACAATTTGACCCTGACTGTAAATGATACCTTTTTTAAGTTGTAGTATAACATTTAACTGTCATAAACACTTCAACTTTATGATTTTATATACATACTAACATTTCAACAAAGAAAGATGCCTATAGCGGTAACCATTTAGGTACTATGGTTGGGGGTGTGGGTGTCTTTGGAAAAGCTCCCCTTACCGTTATATTACGATTGAATGCTGTTGAAACCAATTGATTTATAAAATAAAGATAAATGGTTAAAAGTTTGCATCATAAAATTACAAAATAACATACAACCTCAGATCAATATAGTTCAATAGAATTCCTTAACAAGACCAAAGTTAAATTGACTTAAATGAGCATTTCACGTATTATATGTAATAGATATAGATAATTGTTTCATTCATTATAAACCATACTATTCAAACGCATTTTCTTAGTCGTTTTTTTAATGAATTTGTCCTCACGATGATAGCTATAATGTCTATCTACAGTGGGCTCCGTACATAATCACGGATTTTGATGTTTTTATTCTGCATTCTTCGAACATCTCATGGTTATTTATGGTTATAATTAACAAAACCTGGTGTATTTATATTTTTGTACCTTAATAAGCGAATGTAAAACAGCATATTAACATCTCTATATTCTGAAAATCATGTCGATGAAGAAACTCACATATCGACTAACTAGTACAAGGGTACTTACTACCTGTCCATTATTCCATTATTTTCGCCGCAGGTTTAGCCGCCGTACGTTGTTTCACCAGCAAGAGATATTGGATCAATTTGACCACAATTTCCCACCCTGCGATAATCAAAACACATGAAAAACGCACCCTTTGAAACAAAGGGTCTCCAGTATATACAAAGTTGAAGAGTCGATTCAAAAATTTTGTGACAGACTACTAGCGACCCCTGTGGTCAGAGCGTACGAAATACGCACGGTGTTCCAGGAAGGCGACTTAGTTTGCCCTTGACCGCTAGATGGCGGTATACACGGAGTAGTTGTTGACATCGCTCTATTTGTACAGGGCTAAATTCTATACAATATTAGAGAGGAGTAAAGAAAAGCAAATCAGCCAATTCCTTTGTCTGACAAGATGAAGTCGGTGGGAAGGGGTATCAGAAATAAAAGCTTGGAGCAGCCTATGCGATGACGTTTTTCTCATACGCGGATATTAATTTCAGTACGTTATCGTGAGCAGTTAAATCGCAATCTTACCCTAAAGATATGTTCAGTTGCCCCAATAACCATCACCTGCTTAGGTCATTGTGTTTTTCTCTTGTATTAATTTTTGTACTTTATGCCATTATTTTTAATTTGTGCCAGCTTTTTGCTGCAGCAGTAGCCTTTTTGCTGTTCACATATTTTCGTAATTTTACCTTTTGAATGATATGGGAAAAAAGTTGTTATACCTTAACTCATCTCTGTTGCATCCATTATCCTTCTTTAGTAATTATGTGACTTGGTAGCCATTGCTTTTCCCTTCCTACATCTTTTTGCTCCATTAAGATGTTTTTAGGTGGAGGAAGTCTTTGTTCCACCTTATGTTACACAAGGGCGGATCCAGACATATTCTCTGATAGTCTTCCAAATTACCTTTGTTGATCCATCCTCCATTTCTAGGCGTCTTCCGACAGAAAAAATAGATACCCGTCAATGTCAACATGAAAATCTGACCGTCTTCCAGAAGACCCAGAAGACGACCTCAATCCGCTCCTGTAACTTACCTGGGGGATAAATATTTATTGACCTACATTAGACGCTGTCTCATTATTCAGCTTACTTGTGCATAACACAACTTAATTCTTGCTCGTCTCATTTGTTCATATGTTGGAATATGTGTACTGTTATTTGTAGTTAAATGTCATTTTAGATAAATTCACAGGGTTTTATTCAAATAAAGAGCGGCCCTATTTGGGCCAAATTCCACCACAAACTTAATGTCTTCGCTACAAATTATTTTAATGCATCCACTTGGAATTAGTTCAACAGAAAAAAATCCAGAAAATTGTATGGACAGAGGGGACATAAAGTGAAACTGTCTATATACAATACGTAAACCATGAGAACATATGACTCTAGAGATCAGGAGTTTCCTCTTTAAACCTGACTGAAAGCAGACTAAAACTAGACTGTGAAATCTACCCTTGATATAGCTATCTATGCAGTTACATATTTAGCAATACCTATTGAAATTAAATAATCCGTTAAGTGTAAAATGGAAAGTAGGCCTATCGCATTTCTCATAGACAAGACACCGTTATTTGAGATGTATTCATTTTCTTCGTTAAAACAATTTTGCAGTTTCTGGCATCAGCAGATTTATGGTTCGTTAGAAAAAAATAAATAAATGCAAGTTTATCCTCTTTTGAAATCAATCTTATTTTCGATCATAAGGATTTTTTGTCACTGTCTTTTTCATTGAAGACGGTCACAATCACCCAGATTGCGACTTCAAACACGTGATCTTCTCTAACACATTTTAGTCACGCACAACACGCGGCCCAAGGAAATAAACCTCCATTCATTTCCGTGTCGTTTGAGACAAGAACCCACCAAAAACTTGTTTGGTGGGTCCTAGTTTAATTTATTTTAACCACCAAGTTCATCCTGCTACTTCTGTTGTAAATGTTGAAAAATTACAATGGGATGCATTGACCATTGCAAGTCAAGAAAGCAGTACATACGGTGTAGGCCTATAGGTGTACGTGGTATGTATTTTTTTACTGGCTCTTGACCATGATTTCCCTCCCCCCTTCGAATTAATTCAGTGATAAGCGAGGACAATTGTATCAAGTATATTTATTGATCTGTAATGATAACTGAAAAGAAATGGGGACTGCGTGATTAAATGTTTATGGTGACGAATCATTTAACATTTTAATGAGAAGTAACGCCTTCCACTGACTCACGCCTGTCTCTAATACAAATATTTACATAAAATATAAAAAATTAGCTTTCCACATCTGACAATGGGATTTATAAAAAAAGGTTCACTTTACTTACAATACGTTTCATGGTTAGAGTTGTAACTTATACAAACCGTCTGTTTTTATTTACATCACCTGCCGCTCATCTATCTGCTGATACAGATACATGTAGCTATACTAACTGAAGTTAGTACCTTATTCTAAATCTTGTACAATATTTTAGATCAGAATGGGATCGATGAATATAACAGACTGTAACAAACATCACCGTTAATCTCTTCTGTTCATACTGCTTAAGATTCTTTTTTGTCATTTTCTGTCTCTTCCGATTCTTCATCACTGTCCATCGGAATGAGTGGCATCCCCTTATATTTTTTTCGATAATAATACCAGAGCTGAGATATGAATTCAGCCAGAATAATCGTGTTCGAATTTCTACCGATTAGCCTCAAGGTAAATACTCCGTCCAAATATAAGTAATCGTGGACAAATTCGTTACACAAATCGGCGTCGGCGGGAGATAAACTACCTGTCACCTTTAAATGTTTTCGAATGAAATGCCTGCGTCTACTCGGTAAAAGATCTGAAAGCCAGGCGAAAAACCCGAGGGTGGTTGCAGCTGAGACGATGACAAACCAAAACCAGAGAAACATGAAGATCTTTTCGTTAAACATATTAACGGGTAAGACGCATTGCACGGTATAACGCTGGACGTTGTGACCTAGACGACGAACTTTGAAGTCGCACAGCGTCACTCTAGGAAACCGCCCATTGACTGTCCAATCCCTGTTATGAATAAAATCGTCAATCACGTCAAAACCGTACACGTGAAACGCTGTGCCTAAAAAGGCATTGAGTAAAAAGATTTG